GGCCTGGTACCAGCATACAGGCGATTGTGCGTCTGGAGGCGTCGCCATCACCGATACTGTTGGACGAAGAAGCGACCGTGAACGATGGAGAGGACAATAGGGATAAGGTCATGGTCTCTGAGGGTGACAGAGTTGGGCTACGCTGCGAGGCCAGGGCACCAAATAGCCTGGGGCGCCCAGTGGTGACTTGGAGCAAGAAAAATGGGAAGGATGAGTCTCTGTTGGCCAGAGGTAAAGCAACTTTTGGTACATCTTTCTTAGTTTACAAAATTCGTCAAGGCTTCCTAGTCAACTTTATAACTTATTTCACATATCAGTAAATATATATTTGGCCAGGTTCATTATATCATAGCTGTAAGGAACAGGATGTTGAGGCCTCTGTTTTGGACGCGGTCTCTTTTCGCGGTATGGAAGTGGTGATTAGAACCGAATGAAATCACTTCACCAGTAAGATAGGATACAGATCTATGTAGTCATGAGAGAGATTCGGATGGGAGATCTGAGTCGAATCAGCAATTCCGACAAATCGAGAGGGAGGCAAGCTGGTGTGATAACGCCTCATTGAACTCACCTAAAAGGTCTCAACTGTAGAGGAGGGGGTGAGAAACGAAAAGAGAGAGAGAGAGAGTTTTTAGATGTATCATAACAGGAGTGATAACACAATCGTTTAGTAGAAAGTTGGTCTATGTATTGACTTCCCTTGTCCATCTGACGAAATGTAGCTTGTTGCTAAGACTGGCACGACTACGTTGCTAGTGAAATGTCTGGGAATGGAATAAGTCTATATTCTGTAATTGGTAATAACCATAAATAATATAGCAGAGAACATCAGAAAAGATGCGTCCTACTAGGTTGCCTAGGGAGCACGGCCAAGTAGCGTAAATGAGGTCAAACCAATTTCATTATATCATGCCTCAAGGATGCCATATTCGGCATCAACAATAGAAAACACCAAAACATAGCTTGTCATACGCCAGGCTAAGTCAACTTTACTTAGTTCTTGGAATGGGCGTTCACGGTACATCATCCATGCTTACGATTGTGGTCCTCCATCTTTCCACAAGCCCATCAGATTCATCTGCTGAATATTTGTGTGTCTAAGTTTATTCTATGATCATTGTGTAAAATATTTATTTTTGGTTTGTAAGTAGGTTTTCGAAACTACCGGTAAATTAGATGTATGAGTTGCATTTACCCTATTTCGTTTAAGATGATAAGGGGACTGGTAATTGAATTTTCCCACAATGATATGAGTATCCTTTCTTCCCAAAAGGTTTTCTCATCACGAATGGAGTGAACTGCCGTTTCGGTATCGCACCCCCAGCAGGACTAGAACCATGACAGAGAGGACGTATAATTTCGATGCGTTAACCACCGTCACATCTCAACGAGTTTTTTTCGGATATAGTGCAGAAATGAATTTCTAGGAAGGCCAGTCATTTGCCTATAACACATTTGATTGCTAGTAATCGGCTACAATACTTATATTTAGATGTAGTTTTACCTTGTCAAATTAGCAAGAAACCTAGAGCAACACACCTTGTCCGGAGTCCATAGTATGCATGATCATTTACAGAGTAGGACCGTGAACTTGGTACATTCTGACACTTTTGGCCGGCATCTTCAGTGACCGTTGCCATTCTTAGCACCACACTACAACTCGTCAAAGAGACAAGTGAAATCTATCCTTTGACCAAATGTGTGGTAAACAGTTATGGGATCTCTGCTTATTTCCTAGACTATTCATCAATCCTACATCCTTGTATCACCTTTTCAATATAACAATTTAATAGTTGTTTATCTAAATCTATTTGCAACCTATTCACACTCCCCGCTGGTTTCCACATCCCTCCCACTGTGCCGGGAGTGCTGATGCAAGGCTGTGGTTACCACCATTTATCTTGCTCTTCTAGCCCTAGCGCCAAGTCTATGACCTTCTATGGCCTGCCAACCCTCAAATGTGATGATTCGACTTGATTTGAATAAGCTTGAAATTCTCTTCTAAGATGATAGAAATAGATGCCCACAGTTTACTTGAAGAGATGGTGCGTGAAGGCAATGCCTAACATCCACAAGCATGGGAATCAGAGTCTGAGCGCTCTGCAAATGAGGCGCTCTGAAGGCTTGAGAAATAGCGCCTTGTAATAAAAAGTACACTGGGGCTGAGCCGAGTGAAATCGGTTAACCAAAAAATAGGAAACTGTTCTACGGACTCGTGAAGCAGATCCGGACAGAAGGCCTGAGTTGGATTCTCTACTGGAAAGTGAGTGGAGCAAGGCAAACAGCAGGTAGGATATAGAAAAACTGGGTTTCGAAGAATCCCTTAATAGATTGATGTTGGAGTAACTTTCATTTCGAAGGTATAAAGACCAAGATGGTGTGGCCACTTGTCTCTTTGACGAGTTGTTGTGTGGTGCTAAGAATGGCAATACTCACTGACGATGCCGACTACGA